AAAAAACCCCAGGAAAAAACCAGGAAAAATGAAAATTGAGGGAAAGGGGTAAAATGGGTGGGAAAACCTGGAAAATTGAGAAAAAACCCAGAAAAAAAAAAAGAAACAGGAAAAAACCAGGAAAAAAACAGGGAAAAAACAGGGAAAAAACAAGAAAAAGGCAAACTGAGGGAAAGGGGGAGAAAATGGATGGGAAAACCAGGAAAAAAGTGGGAAAATAAACAGGAAAAAAACCAGGAAAAGGGAAAATTGAGGGGAAGGGGGTAAAAATGGTCGAGAAAAGCAGGAAATGTGGGAAAACCCCAGGAACACCCCAGGAAAAAACAGAAAAATTAAAAACTGAGGGGAAGGGGATAAAAATGTGTGGGAAAAGCGGGAAAAGTGGGAAAAGCAAAGGGAAATGAGGAAAAGAGAGGGAGAAAAGGAGGAAAATGTGGGAATGGAGGAAAAAAAACCAGGAAAAAAAGGAAAATAAAATAAAAAGAGGAAGAAAAACTTGGGAAAAAAGGAGGAAAATGAAGGGAAAGGCACGATGGATCCGGGAATTCTCCGGGATCTTTAATGGGAAGGGCGGGATCTCCCCCTGGAGCGGGATCTGATCCCCGAGTTCCTTCCCGGCTTTCCGGGATGTTCCCGCCTGGAACGGGCGATCCCAAATCCTCCCTCCGGCTCTCGGACGGCTCCGGGATCAAAGCTGCGATTCCAAGGGAGGCATTTCCCGGCTTTTCCATGGATTTTTGGCTCCCTCGGGCTGGCTGTGCCGAGCGGGGCCTTTGGGGGGCGGCAGCAGCTCGGGAATTGCATCCCTGGGAGCGCGCGAGGGAGGAATTCCTTCCCGAGATCCCAGCCCGGGATCCCTCCCCTGGATCCCGACATTCCCGGATTCCTTGTGGGATTTTTGTGGGTTTCTCGTGGGATTTTTCCCGGGAGATCCCTCCCGATCCCGGCGCGAGTCTGGAATATCGGGATCAGCCGGAGCCGGGGTTGGGGCGGGGAAAATCATGGAAAGGAACGGTTGGAAACGGCAAAGCGGGAATTTGGGAAGGAATTCCCGGCTGGGCTGGAATTCCCAGAGAATCCCTGGCAGCGTCCAAGGAAAGGTTGGAGCAGCCCGGGATTGGGGTTGGAATGGGATGGGACAGAAGATCCATGGATCCCATGGATCCAGCCTGGGACAGCGGGAGGTGTCGGGGTTGGAATGGGATGGGATTTAGGCACTCTCCCACCCAAACCATTCCAGAATTCCATGAAATTTCCCAATCCCAGCTCTATTCCCGGTTTCCGGGCCCCCAGGGTGGAATTTTCCTCCCCGGGATTCCCTGGAAAAGGGAGAGGTTCCAACTCCCCCCGGACTCGGTGCTGTCTGAGCTCTTTTCCAGCCTGGACAATTCCATGAATCCATGGGGTTTTCCAGGCCCGAGGGGTGGGAAAATTCCTTGTGGGATTTTTGTGGGTTTCCTGTGGGATTTTTCCCCGGGAGATCCCTCTCGATCCCGGCGCGAGTCTGGAATGTCGGGATCAGCCGGAGCCGGGGTTGGGGCGGGGAAAATCATGGAAAGGAGCGGTTGGAAACGGCAAAGTGGGAATTTGGGAAGGAATTCCCGGCTGGGCTGGAATTCCCAGAGAATCCCTGGATGGTTGGGAGTGTCCGTGGATGGGCTTGGAGCATCCTGGGATGGCGCGAGGTGCCCCTGCCCATGGAAAAGGGGCTGGGACTGGAAGATCCTGGAATCCTCTTCCCAAAAAAAACCCCATCCCAGAATCCGCTGACTCCCTGGGATCATCCTCCAAGGAATGTCGCGGTTCCCGGGCGCGTGGCCAGAAAAAACATGGAATTCTTGCGCTTGGAAAATCCCTGGGAGCCCATGGATCCAGCCCTTCCCAGCCCCCATCCCTGTCCCCCCAAATCCAGGGATTCCCAGGGGCCCTGGGCAGCCGGAAGGGCTGGAAAACCTTTCCAGGCGGGAATTGCTCCCAATTCCCACCCAGCCGCGCTCGGTGCCACAGCCGGGATCCAAATCCCATGGGAAAATTCCTGGGAATTCCGGCCTTGAAGGTTTTCCATTAAAAAAGAAAAAAAAATCCCCCCCATGGAACGGGCCGGGAGTGAGGAATGAGCTCGGAGAGAGGAAATTCCTGCGGGAATCCTCGGGAAGAGAAATTCCTCACGGGATTCTCAGCCTGGAACGGTTTGGGTGGGAAGGGACCCGAAATTCCAGGGGCTGGGAATCCTTCCCTGATCCCGGCGAGCTCCGGCCTGGCCTGGAGCACTTCCAGGCAGGATCTGGAGGATTTGGGATTGGATCCCGGTGGGAT